TGATTTACCCCGGTGCCGGGGACCCGCCTCACCTGCGACCTCTGCTGGCCTTCACTGTTGCTCCACGTGGCCAGGCCGGAGGAGGATGGACTCCGCAGGACGCGTCCAGCAGCTTCTGGGAGGCTTCCCAAGGTACAGGTCGACACTGGGCTAAAGCAGGTGTGGGAGTGGCTTGGTCCTCAAGGCGCTGGCACTCAAGGACCCCCGCAGCCCTGACTGGGGCACCCCCTGGATTCCTGCCCGCCGCACCAGGGAGGCCGTTTTCGGTCCCCTGACGGCTGGCACCGGTCCTTCCACACGATGTGTGTCCTGTTGAGGCTGCTGCTGCCGAGGCCGCTGCTGCGCTGCGAGGAGCCGAGCTGTGGGTGGGAAGTGTCCTGGAGTCCGGGTCGCGCTCCATTCTCCCCACACACTTGGGGCAGGCCTTGCTTTTCTTGTTTTCGTGTTTCAACTCCTACTGCAACATGTGGACTTTGCCATGGTCTTTTCCATCCCCAACGCCCTGACCTTGCTCAGAGCACGGCAGACATGGTACAGCCACAGGAGGGCTGCTGGGCCTCCATCCCTAGAATCGGGGTGTCAGGTGCACCCCAGCACCCAGGAAGCTAAGAGGAGTGGTGTGGGCCACTCGGATATGCCGAGGACGGGCAGCAGCATGCTTCCTTTGAGTGAAAAGGTGAGAGCCCTTGACTTAATATGCAAAGGAAACAAAATCGGATGCTGAGGTGGCCGAGGTCTACAGTAGGAATGAAACTTTTACTCATGAAATAGTGAATGAGGATGAGTTTCAGGAATTTTACTATCACACGCCAAACTATAGGAGTTTGAGCCACAGAGCAGGACACTGCTTGGTTAGGATGGCAAAGGCACTGAATTCGTTTGGGGTGACAGCAGTTTCAGGCGCCCCCTGGGTCTTGAAAAGTGTGCCCTGTGAATGAGGTGGGGGCACCGCGTTTTCACAACACCGACATCGACACAGGGCCTGGAACATGCTGGCCTCAGATGGCACAGCCACTCGGCACAGGCACCCACCAGGAGGAGGTATGTAAAATTGAAGAAGTGACAGGAGTTATGCAGGGAGAGGCCGCCCAGATACCACACTGGGCCCAGGAAACAGCAAACACGAAGTCACAGGAGCTCCCTTTCCAAGCCGGCAGGCCATGTGGGAACACGCTTCCTAGTTTGAACCTGGTAATGCTATGAATTAAAAAACTTTTCAGGCAAAGCATAAAGTGTAGATTTCAAAAATGTAGTTTCACAGTTTTGCTGTTGTGTAATAAGGTTAGCTATCAATTCCATACATTTGCCTATAAATTCTTGTAGTATTTTCCTCTGTATTATTCCAAGGGCTGTCTGGAGCCTCAAGTTCATTTACCAAGGACCATTTGGGGTAGCGATATCAGTGGCCAGCCCTGTTGATCATAAGAGCCCCTCTCTGGCACTTGTATTAGCACCCTTGGATCTAGGTCTCTTACAAAGGACAGGCCTGGTATTAGGGGTATAAACCTTCTCACGTTAGATTTGACTTTGTGATTGTTTTCTGCAGCCAATGGGTGCCAATGACTCCCTCGAGTAATAAGGTCTGAGGATGCATGGATGAAATGTGAACCCCAGGAAAAGTATATGTGCTTATATTTAAAAATTGTATGAGTCATAAAATGTATTTTAAAAAATATATATTCTAAGTGTGATCCCCATTTTTAGGAATCTTTGGCTGTTTATTTTATATGTTGAAAACACTACTTGAATAAAATCTAGTTCTATTCTATCAGTGGTATTTGTTAATGCAGATATGACTATGTGGTTCTCTACCTAAATCCCCCAACATCTCTCCCCAACCCTCACACCCCAGTTCCTACACAATCTTAGACCACAGGGCATGGAGCCATAGTTAAGAGAAAACAGCTGTGTGTAGCTTCTCTGATGATGTAGATGCCCTAATGCATATTTGTTTCTTTTCCATAAGTGAGAATCTGATCAGATAAGCAACACCATATTTTTCTTTCTAAATTGGATTTGGAACAATACTCATTTCAAAGACTGTGAGAGTTTAATGAACACATTTGTGTTATTATGTTGCTCACAATTGGCTGGCACTCAGTACATTTTCCACAATTTCAGGGTGCACGCTCTTCTCCTTTGGGCCTCATATACTCATTTTGAAGTTCCCACACGGGTGCACAGCTGGGTGATTTTCCAGAACTGGTCGGGTACAGGGATTTGCGGACCTGGGGCCTGGGAGGTGGTTGGCAGAAAGCACCCTCTCCCTCCTGTTTTTATCACTGTCACCTGCAGCTTATGTGGCATGTGAAACACTCAGGAGTACCCCAGGCTAATTAAGATTTTGAGAACATCTGTCAGGTTCTTCTTTTCTCAGAAGTGAAAACAAATACTCTTTGAGTTCCCTGGTGAAAGTCAAGGAGCAGTGCCAGTCAGGGCACGATGGCACACACCCCACATCCCTGCGCTTTGGTGGGAGTGCCAGCAATTTAATGGGATTCTGGCTTAAAGAATAAAGGGCTGGGGATGTAGCTTAGTAGAGCGCTTGCCTAGTATGTACAAGGATCTGCCCAGGCTGAGTCCTCAGCACCACCACGAACCCCAAACAAACAGAAAGGTCTGGATGTAGGGGTACAGTTAGTACAAAGATCCTGGCCTCGGTCCCTCATATGGAAGAAAGAACTCAGCTGCTACGACAATCTCACAGGGACCCTCAGACATGTTCACACTTGTGCCAGCCTGTGTCAGGCATGCAGAAACACTGCAGAAACCTGGAGGAGGCCTCGCCTGGTGTGCAGGGCACATAGGGCGCTGGGTGACCCTCCTTGGGGTCGCAGGGTGGCCTTTTTTAGTGGCTCAATGGAAACAGCACAAGGCTGGGCTGGAGCCCTTTCCACCCAGTGCAGGGTGACTCTAGGGCAGTGCTGGCTCTGGATCTCACCACTGGGCTGAGCCACAGCCTGTGATGCAGTTGGACGCTTTCTGTGTGATCCCAGTTCCCTGTTGCCCCCCACAGGTGTTGAGCGCAATAGACATCTTGCCCCTCAGAATTTCATCTCAGTGTCTACTCACAGAGAAGCCAGCATTCATCACAGCATTGCGGTGGCTTCTCTCCTCCTGGCAGCCTGCACCTTACTCAACAGGTTTCTGCACCGATAGGAAAACCAAGAGTGTGAACTGAATCACAAACTCGTTTAAACTTTTCAATTTGTGAGCCATATGATAAATGCTGTTTCTATGGTGTTTCTAAAAGTAGTTTGATGTTGCGCATGAGACTCCCTCCTGTAATCCCAGTGCTCTGGGAGGCTGAGGCAGGAGGGTCAGCTTGAGCCCAGCTTGGGCAATGTAGCAATGTTCACAAGTGAAAGCTATCAAAGGATTGGGGGTGTATCTTAGTGTTAAGGTCCTGAGTCTAATCCCCAAGTACTCCCCTGGCTTCTAGGTTTTCTGTCCAGCTAATTTGTGTTATCAAAGTTTAAATCCCAGGGTTCTATTTGTTCACGTTCATGCACTGCACAGCTCCCTGATTTACGCCCCCCTCCTGGGCCCCAGGGCTTGTTTTCTTTCCTAGCGTCCTAGGTCTCCTCCTAGGTCTCGCTGGTCTCATAAAATACCAAATGCTTTTGTCTAAAGGCTTGGAATCCAATTCTGCAGGAAATATTTTTCCCTCGATAAGCTCCCTGTGCCATTTTTTTTTTCCAATTTGTCTCTCATCAAATAACACCTTTGAAGTCACCTTGGTCTACTATCTAAAACAGTGGTTCCTGTATAGGGCCCCCCCACAGGATATGCATCACCTGGCATACTGCCAATTTAGCCCAGCCATTTCCTACCTATAGACTTCTGGGTTGCAGTATCTTTAGAGTAAACCAATACACGTGTTCCAAAAGTATGGCAAGTTCTGTTAACAAATTAACTGTAGATTCTCCCAATGCAAGTTCTAGGACAATAAAAACAAATAAAAAATTGGATTTCTGCTGGAGGGTCAGGGCTGTATGCCTAGCAACTTTAGGCCAAGTTTGATTCAAATACCCAAACCATAAAAAACAAATCCCAAGTTAGTCACTCTGTAGACCTGGGTGTATTTTCTCGCAAATCCAGCCTGAGTGGTCAGTACGCCCTTTAGCCTGGTTGTTTACCGGACTTGGGAATGTTTTGAGCTCACTGGCTACACCTGGGGAATAAGCTGGCTTCTCATTTCATCAGACCACTTTTAGAGAAAACACCAAAAGCCGTGCAGCAGCTCCTTCCTAAAACAGTGAAAGTGGCTCTGAAAAGAGCCTTTGTTTTTTTCTTCAAATACTTGTAAGGTTCACTTAGCCTTGTGGTGGCTCTCGGTCTTCTTGGGCAGCAGCACGGCCTGGATGTTGGGCAGCACGCCGCCCTGCGCGATCGTCACCTTGCCCAGCAGCTTGTTGAGCTCCTCGTCGTTGCGGATGGCCAGCTGCAGGTGGCGCGGGATGATGCGCGTCTTCTTGTTGTCGCGCGCCGCGTTGCCTGCCAGCTCCAGGATCTCGGCCGTCAGGTACTCCAACACGGCCGCCAGGTACACAGGGGCTCCGGCGCCCACGCGCTCCGCGTAATTACCTTTGCGCAGCAGGCGGTGCACGCGCCCCACCGGAAACTGCAGGCCGGCGCGGGAAGAGCGCGTCTTAGCCTTGGCGCGAGCCTTGCCGCCCTGCTTACCGCGTCCAGACATCACAAAGCCAGACAACCTCCCAATTCCTTTCCAAAAGAAAGGGAACTGGGGGCACTATTTATAGCCATTCTTGGGCGCGAAAAAGGAAGACGTGTCATTGGTTAAAATTGCATCTTGATTTTAACCAATAGAAAGGTGAGTTTGGCATTTCTATATTCTGATTGGGTAATAGTAATCCCTGACGTTTCTCCGAGTAACCACCAATCAGACACGGGGCATCTATACCACTTAATTTACATACCACATTCTACATAAGAAAGGTACCTCGCCTCTTTCTCTAATTTGGTTGGTTGTGGTGTTATTCGTCTGTAGCCGTTATGCCCGAGCCAGCCAAGTCGGCGCCGGCCCCGAAGAAGGGCTCGAAGAAGGCGGTGACCAAGGCGCAGAAGAAGGACGGCAAGAAGCGCAAGCGCAGCCGCAAGGAGAGCTACTCGGTCTACGTGTATAAGGTGCTCAAGCAGGTGCACCCGGACACGGGCATCTCGTCCAAGGCCATGGGCATCATGAACTCGTTCGTGAACGACATCTTCGAGCGCATCGCCGGCGAGGCGTCGCGCCTGGCGCATTACAACAAGCGCTCGACCATCACGTCGCGGGAGATCCAGACGGCCGTGCGGCTGCTGCTGCCCGGCGAGCTGGCCAAGCACGCCGTGTCGGAGGGCACCAAGGCGGTCACCAAGTACACCAGCGCCAAGTGAGCTGGCTGGCGAGTGAAGGTCTCATCTACCCACAAAGGCTCTTTTCAGAGCCATTTCAGGCTGTCAGTGTGAGGGGTTGTGCACACGTTCGTGTGTAAACTGGCTCGTGTGGAGTACGGAGCTCCGTGGCTGGTGAGGCTGGAGATGCTGTTTGTGGGTGGTCCTTGCCGTGCTATGCAGGGCGTGAAAGTTCTTTGTCAGGAGCGTCAGGGGCAGGCGGTGTGGTGTGGCTTGTTGCTTGGCGTGTTTCGCGTCCCGTTTACGCCCTGGCGGGCAGGGCAAGTTGAGCACAGCGGCCTGCCTAGGCCGTCGGGGCTGCATCCCTGTCGATCTAGGCAGCTAGGGTAAAATCCAGCGGGGCGAGCCCGTTCATTTGGCCGAACGTGGAACTTGAGCTCAGTACGTGCGTGCGTTTTTTGCCACTCTCGTGTGGGTCGAGAAGTCTGAGGGACCCGGAGGACTGAGCCGGAAGGCGTCTGAAAGGTGAGCAGCAGCGTTTGCTTTTGAGTAGAGAAATGGAACACGTGGCCAGTTACAGACAGGAGTCCTCTCGATCCCTGATCTAATCAGGTTCCTCATTTCACAAGCACAGCAAAGTTTATAGAAGTTAGAGGAAAAAGTCTGGAAAGAAGATGGCGTAGCAGGACTAACCCTTGAGTGAGGCTGAAGTTTGGCGCTTCCGGGCTGGGGCTGAGCAGGCAGGGTGTGGGGTTTTATTTTTGGCTGGAAACCGAGGGCTGTAGATGCCAGTAGTGAACAGAACTTTGGGTGAAAAGCGCTAATGAATTTTAAACTAGGCTGTGGTCTTTGCATTTAGAAGTGTAGGCCAGTTTCTACACTGATTAATGCAACTTAATTACGTACACTTGTACGTATGCCTTCATGCTTGCACATGTTTTTTTAGGGTGCTCTAATTTTTGGGGACACAGGTAGTGACCCTATGTAATGAATTGATTTTTTTGAGAAGTGAGGATTAACAGTGCTGTCTCCACTGTTTTGTCTTTTCTACCAGTGGTTCATCAATTACATTGATTTTTAACAATAAGTGATCAATGTACCCAGTACTGGTCTGTGCATACGCTCTGGTTTATTAACCCGTACATGCAGATCTAGAAGGTGGCTACTACATAGGCACACAGTCCAATGTGAAAAGTAACCTACAAGTGAGTGGGAGAAATTTCTTCAGTTACTTTCCAAAGTAACAAGCACTGGGACAAGCACTGGGAGAGGGAATAATAGGGACAGAGGGTGTGCATAGTTTGAGCTTTTTGTAGGGTGATTCCCCGAACAAGACATCTTTCACTCATGTGTCAGCCCCTGACGATTTTAGATAGCAAAGTTGGTGTAACTTAAAGAATTTCTGGCAGAAAAGTGGACAGTACTACCACTTCCTATTCAGATTTCATGGAAAACAGTGGGAAACTTAATAAAAATACATCTTATTAGCATGTTTTCTCCAATAACATTCTAAGCTCCAGCTATGCAAGATTTGGGTAGTTAGCCCAAAACACACCTTATGGTGGTGGCGAATTCCACCTTCAGGTCCTGTACGTCTTACCAGTCTTACATTTTTGCTCTGGGCCTGCTAACAGTATGTTGCTGTTGTTAGTTTGAGTCTTACAAATACTTTTTTTGATTTTGGCAAAATTGCTTTCACATCTTTTTGCCTGTTTGAAGATTTTGAAAGTGCATCTTTATAAAAAACCTGGGTGGATGTGAGCCACACTTTTCTCCATTCTTGCTCCTGGGTCTTTCTCTTTTTTTTTTTCTAAAGAGGGAAGGGGTTTATTTAGCTCACACTTTGTAGAGGTTCAGGCCATAACGGGCTGGCTCCAAGGCAGGGATGGCAAACAAGCATCACAGAGGAGAAACAAGGTGCACACAAGGCAGCAAAGGCAAAAGAGTTAACAGCGTCTCCCTGCCCCTTTTATTTTATTCAGACTACTTAGGGCAGGTAGCACTCACATCTTTAATCCTAGGGCCCTTAAACCTAGCATTGCATCATGAATCAACTCCAGCTTCACATACTCTAGATTAAGCTTATGACGACCCCATGAGGCATTGGGGGACTTCAAGACCCAAACCATAACTTTCTGCTGCTGGCCCCCCAAAGACTTGTACATTCCCTTACACAAGAGGCACTTAGTACATCTGTAAGAGTTGCCAAAATCCTAACAGTTTCAGCATTTTGAAAAGTCCAAGTCCAAAGTCTCCTCTTAGATTTAAGGCAAACTGTCAGCTGCAAGCTCCTGTAAAAATGAAAAGAAAGTTAAACACTTTCAACATTCAATGGCACAAGGTAAACATTACCATTCCATAAGGTACAAACAGGAGGATACAAAGGAATGGAACCAAAGTAAGTCCAAAATCCAGCAGGGGAAACATTAAATCCTACAGTTCCATTTCCAGCACCCCCAGCAATCTGTGGCAAGTTGTGAACTCCAAAGGGCTGAATGGCTCTGTGTCTATGGCATTTCCGGTAGTGGTAGCTCCTAAGGCTTCTCTCTTGGGCTGGCTCTGCTCCCTCCTTGCAGCTTTCCTCAGATGATCCATGCCTCTGGCTTCTCCAAACTTCTTGGGTCTCCAAGGAACCTTTGGCTTCACACTCACAGCTTCACATGCTGCCCTCTCAGGGGCGCCCTGCCTGGCCTCTCAGGCCTAATGAGATCTGGGTGGAAGTCTTCCTGAACCCACAACTCTTGCATTCTGCATGCGCCTAAAACCAGTGCCACGTGGGTGATGCCAAGGTCTGCTGCCAGCTGGAGCAGTAGCCAGGCTTCCTTCTCTCTTGACTCTGTAGGGGTCCAGTGCCTATGAACCAAATCTCGAGGAACAACTTCTCTAGGCTGCCAGTTTTGGAACAATTTCCCTAGGCCACAGCCATTCTGGAACATGGTAGTCTGGGGCTTTTCAAAGCAAAATCTTTTACATTTAGAACTCTGAGGCTGCAAAGAGTGGAGTCCTGCTGCTTCCTGTGATGTTCTCAGGTCATTCTTTCTATTCAATCAAGCTATCCTCTGCTGTATCTTTATAGTCCACAGCTTTACTGGAACTTCCTTTCTGGCCAAACTCAAAATATTTTAAATCATTCTGCTGGGCTCTTTATTCTCCACACAGAGCTGGCTAAAATCTCCGGACAGTAGCCATGCCATAGCCTCAATATTTGACTGCCTTAAAATTTCTTCTGCAAGATTTATCAGTCTACTGCCTCTAATCTCAATCTCAGGCAAAGTCTCTGGACATGAACAAGATGCAGACAAACTTTCTGCCAAGCCATAACACACATCATCTGGTGTCCAGCAGCCAATGCAGTCCTTCTTCCCAGCAGAAACCTCCTGTCCTGAGCCTGGTCTTTACTGGCTTTCTGGTCTTCGGAGCTCTGACCAGAATCTCCCATACAGTACAGCCTAAAGCGTTCCAGCCCTATTTCTGTAGCCAATGTCTCTGGATCTTTCCTAATTCCCTTCCCACAAGCCAGTTCCAAAGGTTCTTGAGCCACATGGCCAGGTAATGTCACAGCAATGACCCCACTCTCTGTACTCAATTTCTTTGTTAGTTAGTTTTCTCTCATTGCTGAGACAAATTATCTGACACCCAAAGTTAAGGGGTTTATTTGGTTTATAGCTTGTAAAGGTTCAGTTCATAATCAGCTGGCTCCAAGGCAGAATGTCAAACAGGCCTGGCAGTGGAGAAACAACATGGCACCCACAAGGCAGTGAAGGTAAAAGAGCCTGGCTGGGTCTCACTGTGTTCCTCTGCCTAGCATGAGATTTAACACCTGGAAGGAATCAGTTAAGATCAATGTTCTTTCATAAAAAGCAAGATTGATAAACAGAATTTAATAACACTCAAATTATCAAAGGCAGAGCAAGACGAGTGTTGCCTCCTGCTGGCCTGGTTCCCTGCTGTTAGTGATAGTGAGAAAACAGAACTAAAGCATGAATTAACAAAAAAAAACTTCAATTGGAAAGTAAGAAAATGGTAAGGGGAGTGGACAAAGACCGGGCCAGCCCTTAACATAGGAGAGTGAAAGGAAAAGAGAGGCCGCTGTGAAGGCCCAGTGGATGCACCAGTCCTTGCGAGGCCCTCAGCCCCCCAGTTCCCAGCTGTGGAACCCTCGAGGCCTGAGGGGCGGCACCATCCCTGGATCCTCCCCAGTGGATGTCCCCTGGGGCACGGCTTTTTCCAGGTTAGGGCAGTGGCGGGACTTGGGACCCAGCAGGGTGTCCCTTATGCTAGAATCATGCCTCTGACTGGGAGATGAGATTATGCAGTTCAGGGTCAGCCAACCTCAGACAGCCACTCGGTAATGACTGGCTCACACCAGCCGAGTGGGGAAGGGATTTGATCCTCGTTTAAGGTAGCAAAGGATGCAAAACGAAGGCTAAACTGTGTTCTGCTTTAGTTACCTGTGGGGCATCACCGGGCCCAAGAGTAACTTTTTTTCTCCCCCAGATATGGTGTAAGTTCCCGGCTGTCTCAGAAGACAAACTGCTTTCAATGAGTATCAAGCTAAGGGCCCAGCAGTCACCCCAGCCCCAGAGCTCTCCAACGTTGCCACCCATGTGCCCTTTTCTGCTGTTACAGCATATACGTGCCATTTTTTCCCCTTTAGCCATGTACAATAATTTAATTTTGAACAAAAGCATTTCTTTGTATTTTTATAATCTTTTAAGTTATTCAAAATTGTGCTCAATTTATATTTCTGTATTAGTTCATTTTGTCATGAGTTGTTCGTGCTTTAGAACACTTGGGTGACGCTGAAATGTAGCAATTTCATCTGGTGGTGGTCACAGCCACTTCACTCACACAGAACACTGCTTAACATTTCCCGCCTAGAGGGTCAGAGCACTTCCCGGCTGAGCCCGAGGCCCACTGAGATGTGGGTGGATAGCTACTCAGCATGTGTCTGAGTCTGGAAGTTGCTGAGGACCAAGGCCCAGAAGGTAGCCTGGCTGTCTCCCGTGGGTGAGGGGGGGAATCTTCTCAGCTCCGCACCCACAAGAAGTGAGACAGACCCACTGTGCTCAGAGTGCCTTCTGAGTCATCTGACCATAAATGGGACCTGAGGCTTCATTCATCTTTGTCCTCAGGAAATGCTCTTTGTGTATTTCTTCTCCCCTTTTCTCACGCCTCCCTGAAGGAGGATGTGTGGACCTGGAGGCTTGGAGCCAGTTCTTCACTCTAAGCTGCGCTGCCCAAGAGAAGTACGTGCAGGATGTATGGAGTTTCTAGAGCAACTGCTTGTTTTCTTTTTATGGCACCGGGATTGGACCCAGGGCCTTTACCCTTTTTCACTTTTTAATTTTCAGAGAGAGAGAGAGAGTCTTGCTAGGTCATGAAGTTGCCCAGGTTGAACTGTTATGATTATCTAGCTTCAGCTTCCCAGAATGCTTGGCTCACAGGCAGGTATGCACTACGCCCGGTTCACACCACACTTTAAAAATGGTGAGAACAGATGAAACAAGCTTAATATGTATCAAAAATGTTACTTTGGATGTAGACAACACAAAATATATGAAATAGATGTCTTGGACCTTTGTTTTCATTTCAAGCCTTCAAAATCTGGTGTGCAGTTTAAACTTTTATGTCAAATTTCTAAATTGTTTCAATTTTCATAGGATTTTTTTTTTCTTTTGAGACAGGATCTTGCTGTGTAACCTCTGCTGGCCTTGACTTCACTGTGTAGCCCAGGCTGCACACCAAGTCATCACCTACATAGCCTGGTGACTATGGTCCTCATCTCATTTTATAGGAAAATCTTGTAGAGTTCTTGTATTTACAGTAAACAACAATCAGTTAAAAGTATGATTAAGCTACAATTAAACACTCATTTCTTTGGTCGCTATTCATGAGCTTCATAGCCTCACGTAGCTCATGCTGTATGGCATGGAAGGAATGGCCCCATGGGCCACCATTCGAGGATGCAGACCCTTCTGAAATACCAGTTACCAGTCTGTCTGAAGGGAGTCTCCAGTCCTGTGGGCTTGGAACCTGGGAAATGACAGATCGGGAAGGACAAATAACATCTCTGTAGATTTCTTTAAACAACAGCCTTGAGGGGCTGGGGATTTAACTCAGTAGTTCAGTGGCCTGCCTTGCAAGAGCAAGGACCTAAGTTCAATCCCCAGTACCAAAACAAAAAACCAACCAACCAACCAAACAAACAAAAAAACAACCAACAGCCTTGTTGGGCAGCAGGCCCATGGGTTTAGATGAAAATCATCCATTCTTAGCTGGGTGTGGCTGTGCACATCAATAATCCCACCACTCAGGAGGCCGGAGGCAGGGGGATCAACTAGAGTTTGAGGGCAGTTCCAGCTAGATAGCAAGACCCTGACTCAAAAAACAAAACAAAACAAAATCCTCAACAAAGCAAAAACAGTCCATTCAAGTGCCAGCATTGATAGGCAGTTCTTGTACCTACCCTGAGATTTCCCTAAACTCTCCATGAAGGGGCTAGCACTGCAACAGGAATCAGTGAGACAAAATCTGGGATCCTACCAGGCAGTTAGGACAGAGGACAGAGGCCCCAGGTGGAGCTGGGAAATCAGGGCTTTGCAGGCGTCACACACAAACTGCTCATACTCCCCGTCAGGGGCCTCCGGGTGCCAGGCGCTGAAGTCCTGCATGGGCACTGCCTGAACACTGCAGAGATTGGACCCTGCCAGGGAGTCCTGTGTAGGATGGAGGTTGTATTGCCTATACACCAGCTGGACTCCCTACAAAACCCCTTAAAAACCTCTAGAGGAAGAGCTCTCATTGGGATGCTGCTCAGGACCCTCTCCTGGCTAGTGGGAGCTCTGCTTCCATCCATTCATTCAAGACAGAGTCTTTACATCTATTTATTTGAGACAGTCTCATCATGTAGCTCAGGCTGGCCTTTAACTCACCGAGTACCCTAGGCTGGCCTCTGCAATCCTCAGGCCGCAGCCTCCCAATCTCAGGGATCACAGGCGTGTGCCACCATGCCTGGCCTTATCTTTTAAAGAAACTTGCTTGCACCCTACCCTCGTGGAACCCCAGCATTCTGGCTATAGTGCTGCTGTCCCTTCTCTGTGATGGTTTTTCTATCTACTCAGAGTAAGAACATCACAGGGTGGCATGATCAAGTATAACATGTTCGTGGCCTACTTTTCTTGGCTGTCTAAGCCTCTTATTTTGCCATTTTAAACTGAGGATCAACCACAAGATTATTACATGAGATAATCCATGTGAAACATTTTGCACACGTGTGAACAAACTTTCAGTATATCTTAGGCTTCACTTTTCTTTTGCCTCTCCCAATTTAACCTTGTAGAGTTTGCTCATTCAGTTTATTAAAGACAAGGGAGATCACCTGTTCTCGGGTCTTCACAGTACCTTCTTAATGACTCTTCCTGTGTTTTCAGGTCAAGCCTGGCGCTTGAAGCCAAATCTAGAGATAAGCAGCCAGTATTTTTTGAATCAATGCCTGCAGATTTGTGGGTCAAAGGAATGTAAGGGTGGGGAACACCTTTAAAAGAGGCAGCACTCCACTAAAAAAACAAAACAAAACAAAACACCCCACGGTGCTAAAATCAACTCTTGCATGCCTAATGATAGTGCTTAACTGCAAACACATTTAAAAACCACCTACAAGGTATTGATTACATATATTTGCCATACATACACTGACAAAAGGGTAAAAGCTAAGAAATACTAAGAATACTAACAAATAAAAAAATTCCCAGAAGAAAAAAAAAAAAAAAAAAAAGGTAAAGATGAACAGGTTGTTACCAGAAGAGACAACTTCCAAATAGACAAAAATCCCATAAAAATTAAGCTATTACAAGGGAAATGCAATTTAAATAAATGGCTACATATTATTCAGGAAACCTGCACATTGGCAAAATTTCGGGGTCAATAGGAGCAAATGTGAAAAGATGGGGCAGCCAAACTGGGGGGCCCGGGAGCGTAAAGGACCTGCCCTGGAAAGGATGTGGGGACTCCTTTTTCCTCATACTGGGGACTGACCCCAGGGCTTTGCGCCGAGGTACATTTTGTCCTTTTTGAGACAGGTCCCACTACGTTGCCCAGGCTCTGCTGAGACACATGTTTCTCCTGCTTCAGCCTCCAAAGTGCTGCGATTACAGGTTAATTACCGCGGAGCAATTCCTCTCCTGCGACTATGGCGCTGCGCTGTGTACACCGCGGTGCAGGGGGACAAACTGCCAGGTCCGGGCTGAACCAATAGAAGAAAGCAAACAAATAGCTTTCAGTAAACAGCGTCTTCTCAGTGTAGAGGGTAAATGGACTCAAATTTAAGTGTGCAAAAGCGTAAACTACATACATGTAGTATGAAGTATATAAATACTTTTTAAAAAATGGTAATGAGTTCAGGGGCAGTGCCGACACAGTCAGCTGGTGGATGGGGGCCTATTCCTTCAGCGTTGGTTAATTTGTGAAAGCACAGTAATTTATACCCAACTGGCTTGAGCCCCCGGCGCGGTCCGATAGCCATCCAACCCTCCCAGGACTCCTGCGCCCTTAAACCGTCTCCAGGTCCCTCGCCACCTCTAGCAAGGGGCTGCAGGGCCTGCAGTTCCTTCTGCGTGAAGCTCACTGCCAGGAGCCAGAAACGATAGCACCCCAACCACGGTAACCTACAAGATCGGCCCTATCGCGAACCGAGCAGGTAGGATAGTCAGTATCACACCTCCTCTCAGAAAGGGTGGTGGCCCTAAAAAGGGCCTTTGTGGGTTAGTTAGGAGGACGTGAACTCAGCCGCCGAAGCCGTAGAGCGTGCGTCCCTGGCGCTTGAGCGCGTAGACCACGTCCATAGCCGTGACCGTCTTGCGCTTGGCGTGCTCCGTGTAGGTGACGGCGTCGCGGATCACGTTCTCCAGGAAGACCTTCAGCACCCCGCGAGTCTCCTCGTAGATGAGGCCGGAGATGCGCTTCACGCCGCCGCGCCGGGCCAGGCGGCGGATAGCGGGCTTGGTGATGCCCTGGATGTTATCGCGCAGCACCTTCCGGTGGCGCTTGGCGCCGCCTTTGCCCAGACCCTTACCACCCTTGCCACGTCCAGACATCGCTGCTAGGGAGATGATACAGTGCGGGAACAGCTCCCTTTTATGGTCTGCATGCGGACCTGCGTGAGGACTGCGGCGGGAGGCGGGACGTTTCTCCCCGCCCATCCGGGGAGGGGCCCGGCAAAGCCAAACGCGCCTGCGTGTTGGACTCATTGTTCCTTTTCACTTTTAATCATCAGGATCCAAAGCAGCTTTTGTTTTTTCTTAAAAGTAATTCCGCCTCCTGTTCCTAAAACCACAAATAGCACTTTCTGTCACGCCTTCAACCTTACTAATGCTGGGTAGAACCATTAAAAAAAAATCTAATAGTGAAAAAAAAATCTAATACGACACACCTGATTTTCTGCATAGAGAATTAGCAAAAAATTTAACCATGGGGTTAACCAATGCAGTATATGAAATATTACTCGCACAGATTTGAAGAAATAACTTTATCACATTACACATGTCACCTAAAATTATTTTTAAAATTTCTGTTATTCCTCTGATCAGTCTGTGTAGTGATGAAATATTACAATTATCGGTAACTGACGACTGCTAGTGCTTGACAGTGTAATTCAAAGCTCATAATTATTCAATAGTTTATCATTTATTATTGAAATTGCAACTCATGCAGTTACAATAAAGAAATGGTTTAGAATATTAGAACTTCAATTTACAGACTACAAGAACAGTTAATTTTCGTGAATAAGTAAATAGAGAATTCAAATGCAAAGAGGGTATACTTTATTTTTCTAGGAAACCCTTCCATTACAATAATTACTATACACCTCATACTTTTGGTGGCGTATACTTGATTCAAGAAAATTTACTTTGCTTAAATTCAAAGGCATTTTAGTGACTTTTCCCAACATTAATGCACAATCTTCATTATTTGAGGATTTTCTTGCTACTTTTTTGTAAGGATTTCCTTGTTTGCTTTATAGTATTTGCAAGGTATTCCACTCAAACTTCATAAGATAAATGTATAAGAAAATGAAGACAGGCTTTAATTTTGTTTTGTTTTGGTTTTTTGAGACAGGGTCTCACTATGTAGTTGAGATTGACCTGGAACTCACTATGTAGCCCAGGCTGATCTCAAACTCACAGCGATCCTCCTGCCTTAGCCTCCCGAGTGCCTGGGATTACAGGCATGTGCCAGCACGCCCGGCTAGGACAGGCTTTTCAATAAAAAAATTTTTTTAAATTTCCAAAATTATGTTCCAATAAAAGAGAACTTCCCACACACTTTTTGAAAAACAGATCTAAATGGATTCAGTCAGCAGCAGCTGAATTTAGTACCATTGATAGAGGGAATGGGTAGCATAGGTTCATGGGCTGGAGCTAGTGCAAGGGCAAAGCTGAATTAAAAATAAAAGTCTTCATTCTCTGGTGCAAATAGAAGAGGCTTTCGTGTCTTTCCTGTCTCTCCTTCAGAATTTCTTTCCTTAGCTTTTTCAAATATATGTAAATCCTTTTAATGGCTTACCGAGCCTTACACTTGGGAATGTTTCTTCAGAAACCAGAGGGTCATCTCTACAATGCAGTGACCAACACGGAAGGCGGCCTGTGTCCCCAGGGCCTAGGAGGAAATGCGCGTGAAGGCCAAAAGGCAAAATGCAAACCCCTCTGAATGTAGCCCCACAGAGGAACAAGATTTCTTTTTGCTTTTGCAATCTCTTTATAAGTTTGCCTCTGATGTTTTGTACTCTGGCTTAATGCTCATGTGATTTGGAGGTGATTTTGTTTTAATTATATTTTCCCTACATCAGTGTTAACTGGAGAATATTTTAAATGACATTTAGACTTTAAAAATTAGTAAAACTCTATGGACAGCAGGCTCCCTCATCTGAATTCAGACGTTTTTTTGCAGCAGTTCACGATGACAAGGGCAGCAACAGACTGGACAGAAATTGCACAGAAAGGAATTCTGTACAAACCAACCTGTTACTAACATGCTTTTTAGTATCCTTTAGCCTGCCCATATCTTTTTGTTGCTCTTCCACAGATGTTTCTGTTTACCCAATTAAAATGGCATTTAGTGTTTACTTCTTAAGGTCTTCTATTTCTTTTTGTCCCGGGGCCAAAGTCACAACCTTGCACTTGCCAGGCAGGAACACACCAGTTACATCCCTGGTAGGTGTTCAATTTCTAAGGGTGCCTGTATCCCACAAATTTAAATTCATTTGGATAGTTTTCTCTTGTTAATGTTATGTGTTTAATTCTGAGGCCCAGCCACAAAAATCTGAGGATACAAGTACAATTCTGTTTTTGCTATGATACCTGAAGTTTGTCTGAAATTGAAGCCGGAGTGTTTAATTTTTGTATAGAGCTGTAATTTAACAAATCAGATTATATTGTTTTGTTTTTCTGGTGCTGGGGATTGAACCCAGGACTTCCACAATGAACTACATCCCCAGGCAGCCTTTATTACTGGAGCTAAATTGCCTACACTGGGATTGAATTGGGATCCTTTCCCTCAAGACTCCCACTTTGGTCCTTCCTACAGGACAACTAGCTTGAAGTATTTTTCTGTTCTTACATACTTTCATATTATGAAAACCTGCCTACAAAATTAAATTTGCAAATGCACCATCTAATCATTTTACATTAAATGGATGACATCCAAGGATACAACTAAAATTACTTGAATTGCATAACTGAAAATCAACAGAACAGTAAAGTACTGCACCAGCATGTGGAAGGGGATGGCAAAGTACTGCGTGCTGTCAGCCTTTTTTCACTCCAAAGCTACCACATTTATACTTGGATAGTAAGTATTTTCAGAAAAGTATTAAGTAAATCAGTGGTATGGGCCAACAAGTGTCAAGTTCTCTTGCTGGAAATATGAGTGGCTCTGAAAAGAGCCTTTGATTTCACAGCGGTGTTCGGAGCCTTACTTGCCCTTGGCCTTGTGGTGGCTCTCAGTCTTCTTGGGCAGCAGCACGGCCTGGATGTTGGGCAGCACGCCACCCTGCGCGATCGTCACCTTGCCCAGCAGCTTGTTGAGCTCCTCGTCGTTACGGATGGCCAGCTGCAGGTGGCGCGGGATGATGCGCGTCTTCTTGTTGTCGCGCGCCGCGTTGCCCGCCAGCTCCAGGATCTCGGCCGTCAGGTACTCCAGCACGGCCGCCAGGTACACCGG